TATTATAAGCTATTTCAAATATCAATTGAAATTTGAATGAAAATCTTTAGAATTAAAATGAAAATTATAAATAAGTATTTCCAATTCAGATCCAAAGTATTATATTTGATAATTAGTCTAAATATATACTATAAGTTGCTCAAATCAATTCTCCACTAAAAAAAATAATAGTTTGTTTAATTATTGAAAAAAATTAAGATTCTCTTTATATAAATTGAAATAAAATTAATATAAATAATAATAATGTCATAATATTAATTATTTTACAAATATGAATTAATTATTTTATAAAGTTTGATTACTCTGATTCATTTTATATTCTTCTTGATAAAATATTGGCCATTATTGAATATAATTTTTTGCATAAAAAATTACTTGAAACTAACTATTCTATTGAATTATATTTGATAAAGGAATTTTGTAATTCCATATATTTTTAAGTAAGTAAATAACAATTTCTTCTAGCTGGTGTATGAATGAAAGTTTCTTTAATTTTGGCAAGAAATTTTTTAATATAGAGAATTCTGATAAATTTCTTTATAGATCACTATATAATATAAATATATTAATATTTAAATTTATTTTAAAAAATAATTAAATATAATAATTAACTTATTCAATAAGATTAATAATATATGCACAACATGATATATATTGAAATTAAGATATTAAAGGTATTAATACTTCATAATAACATTTTTTCATATAGGTGGTTGAGTTACTTAAAAATAAATAAGGATAATTAAAGGGTATGTTATAAAATAAAAGGATTGTTATAAGGGTTTGATCAATAGTTATATTATTAACTCATTCAAGAAAATTAACAGAAACTAATTTGTTGTATTTCTATATATAAAAAGAGTATTTACTACACTTCTTGCACAATCATCAGTGGTTTCATCCATAATAATAGCCACTGGTTTAGAATGAAAAAATGTACATAAATTTTGTTGATGTTTTTCAAAAACATGAGATAAATAAATTTGATGTAAAGTAGGTGCTTTTGGAATTGCACCACCTTCTTTAAATATTTTTGAAAAAAAGGGAGCAAGTGGTTTACTTTTTCAAGAGGAATATCTGCAATAGAAAATGCTTCAATCAAATCTTCAATAACTTGTTTTTTAGAATCAGCAGTTATAAGTGTAGTTGCAATTGTAATTTGTTGTAAATTTGTTCATTAGTTTTGCGTTTAGCTTTATTTGTATTATGTTTTTTGCTATTAAGATGTCCATCTATTATTGATTTAGCTTTCCAATCAATTGATTCATTATAGGAAATACAAAACATAATACTATTATCAACTCAAAAAAGACCTGGATATTCATTAGCTCTTAATTGTACTGTAAGTTTTCTTTTTTTTTTGTTTCATTATCATTAATTATTGATATTCGTAAAACCACTTGCTAAAGATACTAAAAATGATTATAATACATATTTATTTTTTTCAATTTATGTAGTACCAACATTCTGTGACAAATAAGAATTCTGTGGTGATTGAAAACGAATTATGTATTTATCACAGGATTCTGTGAATTCTGTGACATTCTGTGAATCACAGAAAATCATCGGCCCTGGTGTACATGTACTGTACGTCAAACAATTTAATTAGTAAAGATATACTGTACATGTACTTTGTTTAAAATACGGTATGACAGTCACTCCAGCAATAGAACATAAAAGAAATCGAAGAAAAGCTAATATATTTTCAATGACCGAATCGTAGATTAAACCAACTAAAGAATTTGATTCAGAAATATATATAACACATAAGTTGTAAATGTTTTTGAGAAATTGTAGTGTAAAGAATTAGTAATTGATGTAAAGAAAAATTAAAATACTAGCAAATTTGCGGGGACCTTCGTACCTGGCGGAGAACAGCAAAGAAAAAATTAATCTTAAAAAATGTAAAATCTCCGCAGCTAGTTGACTATTCTTTTTAATGATACCAAAATCATTAAATTAAATTAAATTCCTGATGCATGTAAACTGGGTCAATCATATCGTTATCTCTACAAAAAAGGCAAGCACGCAACAACCACAAGAATTGTAATGAACGACCTGGCAAGCACATAAAAGCGACAGATTTCGTATACATAAACACGTTTCAGACACAGTTTTTCGCAGAAAATAACACATTTATGCTTTTAATGTGAGAAAAACTGCTTACGTATAGGAATTTACGTGCTCACCGGGCCGTTCCTTGCAATTCCTGTGGATTTCACGTGCCTGTCTTTTTTATAAGGTGTTAGCATATATCTTGATGTAGAATTGACATTAATATGTGTCAATTGCTATTATTTTTCAAATAAAATTAAATACATGTACAGAGTTTTTGATCAATTATAGGCCGTTCTTTTTACGGTAACGAACGACATCCTGATCCTGAAAGATCGAAAAATTGAAAGAACGGCATTCCGAATGCTAATTTTGGTCTTCCATGCATTTGGGATGCTATGGGATTTTGATGCCGTTTATTCGGGATATTTCTCTTTCGGGATTTCTTTTGTCGCGCTTATGAACGTTCGGGATGGTGTTCTTCGGGATTTCGTACTAGACCCTTCTTTTTAAGTTAATTAATAAATTTTAACCATTCATTTTCGGAGAACAAGTAGATAAATTAGCAAAGCGTAACTCTCACATCATTCTAATATATTGTCACACTCAACTCAGAAGTTAGGTTGACTAAAGGATTGTAGATGCGACAAGTTAGACGGGTTTCACTGGGGTTTTAAAAGTCTACTGCGCCATTCTACACAGAGATTGTGCAATCATTTTGTTTTACCAAAACAATAAAACAAATCACAAACAGATAATCAAAGAATCAAACAAAATACATCAACTTTTTATGTTATGTTAGCACAAAAAAGTTATCAATTTTGTTTTGGAACAAAATAAATGAAGCAGTCAGGTAAGATTTAAAATAATATTATTTAGTTATTTTTCTTCAACCACACATTTCCTGTCTCTTGGACCTTCTAAAACTATCCTTTATATATAGTTTCATTATTACACAACTGTCTAAATTACAAATGATAATCTAATACAATTTTTGCGTCCTAACGTACAAAGTTTTTATCCTAAAGAAGTAAAATAAAAGAATATATAATGATATTAAAAATAAGTTATTATGTATGGTTAGGAAATGAGAATAAAAGTTTAATTATTATTATTATTATAGGTCACTAAGCAAAGAAAAATGTTCAAAGTGTGAAATAATTACGAATGGCTTTTAAGGATTTTCAAAATTCCTAAACCCAAAATCCCAAGATTCACAAAATCCCGACTCCCCAGCATCTCGATATATCTAACATCCCAAGGGTAATGTAAGATTAGCATAAATTTCATCGTTAAGTTAGTTGTATTCATTATTTACTACACGCACCTATACATTCGCATCAATATTTATTGCATAACTTTGAGTGTATTGTCGTGGTTTTGGGAATGTCGACCTGTGGACTTTCGGGATTTTGGGCATGAGATTTAATCTCGAGATTTTGGGAGTTATTGTCGATACTACAAGTTAGAAACTTTAATGTGGTTGTCACGGATCTCACGAGGACAGATTAAAAGGTTTTGTGAAGATCTTTTTCAAATACATGTTGAATTCCATGTTATGTACATAACGGGGATACATGTACGTGTGTACCATTTTTTAAAAATATATTTATCAAGTTCTCCCTTGTTTACCTGCTGCCACTTCGTCAACACTATAATTTCGTTTGGTTAAAAAATGATGTCCACCTATACGCAGCTTAAAAGGGGAAGATCTTAGGGTACATGGACACCACAAATGCCGTTCACTTGGACACAACCCTACAAAGGTACACCACTTTATAAACGAACTGGAAAAGTGAAAACTTACCACGTTTAGGAAGACCACCAGCCTTAAATAACCACGAAAAGGATTTACCTATACGTGAAGCTAGCGAAAAACGAATTGCACCGCTACATGAAATAGTCAACAATTTGGGCCTCACTTGTAGTTTATCAACCGCCATAAATGTATTGCACAGCGCCGGACTTAACTCACGTATCACAGCAAAGAAACCCTATATCTCGGAAACACATACATATGCTCATATTAAATGGTGTGAAGAAAATAAAAATAAATCAGCTTATGATTGGTCAAAAATAATTTTCTCTGATGAAATCAGTGTGGAAATTGGAAAGCAAGCATCCTGGAGAAAAGTTTAACGTTAATTGTTTGACGCCTACCCTTTAAAAGTGGATAAAAATCTGTAATGGTTTGGGGATATTTCGCGGAAGGACCATTAATTTTTGTGATAATAAAAAAATGGCGAAAAAATAAATACCTCGAAATCTTAAAAACTCCAGAACTCAATTAGGGATTAACTGGAAGTTACGTAATCTTTCAACATGACAATGCGTCGATACGAACTGCTGGAAAAATCAAGGGAAGGACAATATTCAAAAAAATGAGAACTTATCGACGACTGTGGACGAATTTAAGATTGCACTGAAGATGGAGTGGGATTGATATGGCCATTTAGAACGGGTTATTGCATCAATGCCACGAAGAATTAATGCAGTATTAGAGTCAAATGGAGGGCCGATTAAATATTAAATAATTTTTATTTTTATTTGGTGTATAAATTGACGAAAATCAAATAAATTGAATTTTTTTAATTTTGCATCGGGTGATACTTTCTGTGGGTACTGTACATGTATAAAAGCATCCACATATTGATTTTGATATTCCCATACCAAATTTATTAAAATTTTAATATGTTATACCTAGCGAACAATTTTATTCTCATTATGACTTGACATTATATTATGGATAATTTCCCATTTAATTTCACGCATGAACGTTTAAAGTTTATCTTTTATCTTTAGCTAAAACAATCAAAATGACCGTTGCAAAAATTTCTATTTACGATCGTCTGTATCGAATTTTTTGGTGAAACAGATAGCCGCTTAATATAGCTCCACGATTAATAGATGCGCAGTTTTGTGAAATGTCTCGCAATTTATAAAACATGGAAAACATATCTTCTGAAGAAATTACTGTTCAGGTCAATGATGATTCGCCACTCCTCATTAGTCTTCCTAAAGCTGCAAATCTTACAGAAATACGTAACATACTTTCTGAAAGATATGATATTAAAATGGGGCCTAAAACTTATTTTGTATGCCCAAAAGATGGCTCACCCACAATTCCGTATCACGAAGAAAAAAAATATTCGTTGGAAAATATTATTAACCTGACCAAAAATTTGAAAATAAAGGGTGAGCTTGAACCAAATTGGAAAGAGATTATTGAAAAAAATAAACTTGAATGTGGTTTATTTTTCACGGATGACGGGCCGAGATCTGCAGAGGAAAAAGCTTTTGAAATTGTGCAGTATCCGAAGACTACATTGTTAAATCAAATTGCCAGCTTTCAAGAAATAGAATGTAAAACGGAAAAAGATGATTTTTGTACAAAAAATCTATTCGTTGTAGCAAATCTAGATGTAAACTCACAGTAAGGCTATATAATTTTGCTTTAAATTTTCGATAATTTCATTTTTTTTTAATACATTTGCATTTACAAAATTGCAGTATACCAATTTCTGCGAAGTTTGGGGCTTTTTACCAGAAGAATTCTATCAAACATAGTGCTAATGTGAAGTTAAATACGTACCGGAAATCAAAAAAAATAAAAGCAATATTTTCAATGTCCGAATCAGAAGTTAAACCAACTAAAGAATTTATTTCGGCAGTTAATAAAGCACTCGAGTCAGATTACCCTCGTGAATTCCTCAAAAAAGTCACAGAGAAGTTTGGACAATTTTGGTGCAAAAAACTTGAAATTGGCGGAAGCATTTTATATGTTAAAAAAGAGGAATCAAATGTAAAAGAAAATATACGACGCGAAGAAAAAAGTATAGATGGTGCCATTAAATTTGGGAAATATGAAGGAACGAATCAGATGAATGCAGCAACTAATAAATATTCTTATTTTCAAATTCGTGGTGGATTGGAAAAAGATTATCATAAAGGAATGGCAGGTATGTGAACTATGTTATCTAAGTCTATATTTGGGTTAGTTCAGATAGTCAAATAGTTTCAGATATAGTTTAAAGCTATAAATTTATATTTATAATTCATAGGGTGGTTTACTTCTTTAGAAGATTATAAAACATGGGAGGTAGCCGCTTATTCTGACATTCATTCAATATTTGATATCCTTGATGACGAAAGAAGAAAAAAAGTAGCAGAAGTTTTTGGAAAACGAATTATTGATTCTCGAGTTGTGAAACTGGTTTTCTTAATGGATATTTCTAGACCAGATCCATATATATATGAACTTCCGATCAAATATGATTTATCGAATTGTCAAATCTTTGTTACAGAAATGAAAGATGATAACAACTCAGATACAATATTTGCTTCTCGAGTTCATTATATCAACGATAAAGATCCGCCTGTAATTCTATTACATCGATTTGGATCATTGAATAAAAGACCAAAAATCCAAAAATTTTCAATAAAGTTAGGTTGGATCGTACTTGGAACGTCCACTATGTTGAATTTACCCAACGAACCTATTTTTGAAAGTGGAGAATCACCAATCACAGTGAAAGACAACAAACATTGCTCAGCGACCATTTCATTGCATGAACTGGGTCCGAACGAAAGTCTATTAGCTACTTGTGTTTCAAGATCCAGAAATTTTCTAGATGATTGTAGGGAATCCAAGTATATTACGAGATCACATTTTGTTTATAACAATAGTTCTATTAAGGCTTGTGCGTTTTTCTATGATCTAATAAGTGGTAAGTAATTCTGCAATTAATATTGGTCTTGATATTTTGGAGCTCATCATAATATTATATATTCACTTGAAAGGAAAGCAATTTTATCAGTTGGATGATTTGAACACACACTTTTCGATTAATTACAGGTAAAGTAATAATTATTATATTTTGCTTATCATTGTAAATATTATTTATTATTTCAGCCATTACTTTGCAGTATAATAATCGGACAACAAAATGATGAATTCGGTCAAGCACAAATAAACGTAACTTCCGATTCCGTTATCAAAAACCCATTTAATCAAACAAGATATAAAATCTGTTTTGAAAACTATAATCACTTAACGTCACAACATGAAAACGATCAATTTGCTGCTACTTCGTCAACACACTCAACGCAATCATGTTTGCAGAATCCTATTTTTGTTAACTTAATTATGGATAAATGCTCAGAAAGAAGAAAATGTCCTCATGGTGTCTTGAATCCTATACCAGAGCACGTGCAATTCAAGTCTATACACCGTGTGGATGTGAACAACGAAAAAATAGCATATTTCCGTGCGCCATCTCTAATTAACGAGGATGATATACCAACAAATCGTCCAGAGGTAAACAAACAACCTGAAGAAATAAAAATGGATAGATGCGCCGGTCCTTTAGCTTCAGAAGGATCAGATTTTATTGATTTTTCCGAAGATAAGAACAATTCAGAATTGCAGGATTTTAAAATTATTGACGAATTAGTTTCTTTATTACTCGACTCATCAAAAGATATCGATATAGATAAAATAGGTGCCGATTTGCAAATGTATTATAACATGTACCGGTACAGTCAGAATTCTTTCATAATCCGTGATTATTTGAAAAATAATCGGTATAAGTTACTTTTAGGGATACTTTCTCAAACTGGATCCATAGTTGAAAAGAATGCTGAACTGGCATTGAATATATATTTAGAGCTATCAAATAATAACAACGCTTCAGCTCAATACTTGCTAGGAAATACCTATCAAAATGGAATCGGAACACAAAAAGATGAGAAAAAAGCATTCGAGTGGTACTTGAAATCAGCAGAAAGTGGAGACGCAAGAGGACAATATAAACTTGGTTTATGTTATGATGAAGGAATCGGAACACAAAAAAATGAGCAAAAAGCATTCGAGTGGTACTTGAAATCAGCAGAAGGTGGAAATACAGGAAGTCAAATTAAACTTGGTTTTTGCTATGAAAATGGTATTGGGATACAAAAAGATGAGAAAAAAGCATTTGAATGCTATTTGAAGTCAGCAGAAGGTGGAAACGAAAGTGGACAATATAATCTTGGTTTATGTTACGACGAAGGAATCGGAACAAAAAAAGATGAGAAAAAAGCATTCGAGTGGTACCTGAAATCGGCAGAAAGTGGAGACGCAAGAGGACAATATAAACTTGGTTTATGTCATGGTGAAGGAATCGGAACACAAAAAAATGAGCAAAAAGCATTCGAGCGGTACTTGAAATCAGCAGAAGGTGGAAATACAGGAAGTCAAATTAAACTTGATTTTTGCTATGAAAATGGTATTGGGATACAAAAAGATGAGAAAAAAGCATTTGAATGCTATTTGAAGTCAGCAGAAAGTGGAAACGTAAGTGGACAATATAATCTTGGTTTATGTTACGATAGAGGAATCGGAACACAAAAAGACGAGAAAAAAGCATTCGAGTGGTACTTGAGATCGGCAGAAAGTGGAGACGCAAGAGGACAATATAAACTTGGTTTATGTTATGATGAAGGAATCGGAACACAAAAAAATGAGCAAAAAGCATTCGAGTGGTACTTGAAATCAGCAGGAGGTGGAAATACAGGAAGTCAAATTAAACTTGGTTTTTGCTATGAAAATGGTATTGGCGTACAAAAAGACGAGAAAAAAGCATTTGAATGCTATTTGAAGTCAGCAGAAAGTGGAAACGTAAGTGGACAATATAATCTTGGTTTATGTTACGATAGAGGAATCGGAACACAAAAAGACGAGAAAAAAGCATTCGAGTGGTACTTGAGATCGGCAGAAAGTGGAGACGCAAGAGGACAATATAAACTTGGTTTATGTTATGATGAAGGAATCGGAACACAAAAAAATGAGCAAAAAGCATTCGAGTGGTACTTGAAATCAGCAGGAGGTGGAAATACAGGAAGTCAAATTAAACTTGGTTTTTGCTATGAAAATGGTATTGGCGTACAAAAAGATGAGAAAAAGGCATTCGAATGGTATTCTGAAGGCCAATTTAACTTAGCATTGTATAATTTAAATTTTGCTAAGAATGAAATTGAGGCTTTAATATGGCTCCAAAAATCTGCAGAAAATAGGAACACTCGAGCGCAATTTATTTTGAATAAATGTTACAAGTTATTAAATAAACCTTCCCTTCATAATATTAAAATACGATCTAATTGTTTCATTACTTTGAAAGAGATAAATATTCAACATGAACGAATTAACCTATCACAAGGAATAAATATTCGGAAGCATCAAGTTGAGCAAGCTTTTCAGCCAGCAATAGATTTTGATTTTATAGCATCGTTTGTAAATATTATTAGCAAGAAAGTAATGCTTAAAAAAACAAGTAATAGTTCGGATTCATTTTTTCTGATGCAAGGGTTAATATTAGATTCGAATTTTGATTTTGATTATGAGTTATTTTTCGATAGAGAAATTTTCGACGAGTCAGAAACGAACGATATCTATTGTGAAATTATTAGTGAACAATTAGCAATCGAAATTGATATTCAGACGCTAAAGCCAACTAGAAAATTAAGTTTAGCAATTGACGAAGCACTAAAATCAAATGCGCCGATTGAAAGTTTGAAACTTGTGCTTGAGGATTTCGGGCATTTTTTTCCTATCAAAATCATACTTGGTAATAAACTGCAAAGAATAACTCAATTAAATTTGGATGAAAATGCCAACAACATGTATTTAGCGAACGAATTTGATGAATTCTCAAATTTTAATATAGGTAATTTATATTTCTTTATCGATTATGAATGATTTATATTTATGAAAAATTAAATTTAAATTTTTAGATAAATCACTTGAAAAATGGAAAGAAAATATACAACAATTTGATTCCTCCTATATGATCGAAATGGATGGTGATCCGATTGATATAAGGTATTTAACGTAATAATACTAATACTACATGTATTTTTTAACGTTAAGATTGTTTATCTATTTACGATATTATTTATAATATTATTTATTTCACTCTAGCCAAATTCATGAATGGTTTGAAAAGATTTCAAACCAATACTCCGAGTGGCATATTGTTAAGCGTGTTGTCAAACCATTATACGAAATTCTTGATATAAATCAACAACGGGATATTAAAAGTCTTTTTAAAAAAGAAGAGCGCATATTAATGAATAACAAAACACTAATTTCCGATTGTAGCACTGGATATCAACGAATTGATTTTGATAATCAACTGAAGTTGAAGAGTAACAATTATCAATTATTCGGAATTATTGTATCTTGCGACGGTGAAAAATTGGAAAATGTCTATATGAGATTTAGTTTGAAAACAGTTTATGGATTTTCAGTGAGTTGGCATGATTTTCGAGCGAATGATAAGATGACTCCTGACAGGTAAAATATGATTTTTTATCACACATTTATACAAATTATTAATGAATTCTTTTGTTTGCAATTTTAAAGTTTGCAAACACCACATATGCTTCATTGGATTTTAATCGGTCGTCCAAGTGAAATCGGATATTTTGATCCAATGACTCGTAATATATCGGTTAAAATTGGTGTCACCGCATTAAAGTATACATGTAATACGATTATTCAACCCGTTCATCTTGAAGTTGGGAAATCCCTATTTCGAAAAAATATTGTGATATTTGATGTTGAATATACCCCGTTACCAAAACATCTGTTTTTCAATACAAAAATTGAAAAATGGAATGAAGATGGATCGATTCAAATAAAAATTCAAGAGGAGAGTACATGTAGTAAACTTTTGGATGAAGATCACATATTCATTAAAGTTCGTTGGTGTGTTTTGTTTTTGGAAAATGATATCGACAAGGAACGATTGTGGAATCATTTAGGCGAGTCTTTGTAACCTGACTTGATAAATCTCTTTATTGAGTTTGCGAGTGAGTTATGAGTTCGGTAAAATTTCGATAGGGTTCCTTTTTGTTTTATAATTTTATCTTAAATCTGAATACTATTCAAATAATAAAAATCATAAGTTTCATAAATTGAAAATATTCACTTCATATTTTATTTTATTTATAACTATTAATAATTGATAGCAGTAGATACAGTTATTATAAATATCATTCACTATATTTTACATTATATTATATTATATTACACACTTTATACACATACATCTTAGTTTTAGTATTAAATTTTTGAAAGATGAATTCAAAATAATTTACTTAATTTATGCAAGATATAACTAAACTTATTAATACAGTAAAAAAATAGTCCTTCTAATCCAAAATTCTTATCTTATCTTTTAATTAAATTATCTATTTATTCAGAAGAGCCAACAAAAAATGCACTTGTTTGGATATTACAAGAAAAGATAGTATTTTTAACTCAAAAAATTACTGAAGAAAAGATTCAAGTATAATATATCACCATCTTCTTAACTAACACAATTCTATATTAATATCTAAATAAATATAAGATAACAAATAATAATATATCATTTAATCAATGAGAAAATTTTATTATAATACTTAGAGGAGTCTTTTAATCATTACATTATTAGCAATATCTTTACTAACAACTGTATTTCTTTATTTTTTTTATTATAGTACTAAATTCAGAAATATAGTTAAATAAATTACTAATATAAATAATTTAGATTAAGTTATATATTTCATAAAAGTTTTTAAATTCATAATTAAAATGAAAGTTATTAAGTATTAGAAATCTTAGAAAATATTTAAAAATATTATTTACTATAATACTATTATATATAAATAAGAAAGATCTTTAGAAATATAAAGTAAATATAATAATAGATATCATTTATAATATCAGAACAGAAATCATCAGAATAATAATTTTATATTAATAGAATTAAATCAAGTAAAGATCTATTATAAAAATAATTAATAAATTCAAAAATATATATTATAACTATAAAAAATCTAATTACTTTATAAAAAATTATTATTTTAAATCAAAAATCAAGATAGTAAATATTGATAATCTGCAAGGAGAATTATCATATTAAAATAAGAGAATAGAATTACTCATCTTGAAGATAATTGTAAGAGATTATTAAAATTTAATAATCAAGTTAATAATAAATCAGTTTGAATATTACTTGATAATAAAGTATTTAAAAATTTTATAGATAAAGACTTTATATAGAAGAATAAAGTAAAGATATAAAAGATTAATTTTATAATAGTTGAACTTACAAATAGAAAGAAATTTATAATTATTATTATAATTAGTAATACAAGTTATCAAAAAAATTTCAGCTAGTTAAGCTTTTATTTTTTTTAAAGCTAAGCTGGCTTAGTAAATATAATTTCAAAAAAAATTATCAAAATTTAATAGTAATTAATTATTATTTAGTTTTATAATTTCTTATTTAATCTTAATTTTTAATATTATGCTTAATTATATTAATATTATATTTCAAAAATAAGAAATTATGAATAATATTTAGATTTAATTTATTTTACTTATCTGTAATTATATTTTTAATATTTGAAAAAATTCATTCAATAAGTATTAGTATAATAGGAATTCTAATATATTATTACTATAGTGATATAAAATTTCTTAATTCTATAATCTTTCTTTAGTTATATAAAATTTTATTTCCCTATTATTTTATAATTTATTATATATTCACTCTTATTTTTATATATTATATATATTTTTTTATTATATTTATCTCTTATAATCATATTTTTATTTTAAACATTATATTTTATTCTCTTAATTTGAGATTTATATTTTTGATTTATATAATATACATTTTTTATATACTTATTAGAATAATATATTTAAAGATTCTTTTTAATTTTTGGTAAAATAATAAAATATTAAAATTCTAGATATCAATATTCAGTAAACTAATATAATATTAATATTTATAATATCTATATTTTAAATATTTATAAGATTATTTTGTTAAATAATTATAAATAAAATAAAATATGATATGAACAATTTTAATTTTATAACTTATAATTGTTTTTATTATTTAAAAGCATTCAAATTTGAGATAAAAGTACAGAATAAAAGAGATATATTTATAGTAAAAGAAATAAATACAAAGTATAAATAAATTAATACAAATATAAGATTATTTTGTTAATGATTGTAAACAAGATAAAATGTGATATGAATAAGTTTTAATTTTATAACTTATAATTATTTTTATTATTTAAAAGTAT